GATCCAGTGCAGCTGGGTACTTTCTGCTGGTCCTGTTGCTGTGGCTTTATCTGATCATCAGCAATATCAGAGCCTTCCCAGAGCATGGGAATCCCCATACTTGCTTCTCTTTTTTCTGATTTTGGAGAAAGGAGCGGGGGCAGCACGGCTGCTGTGCCCAGCGGGGCTGCAGAGGAGCTGGGCTGGCCCCGCACCCCGGGCTGCCCTGGCAGCACAGCCTTGTCTGCAGTCCCACATCCAGCACTGCCAGCCCAGGGGAGCCCCCAGGCTGCACAGCCCTGCTGCCCGGGGTGTGTGTGGGGCAGGAGCTGCCCTCCCGCAGGTTGGAGCCTTTGCCCTGGGAGCAAACCTGCCCCTGCTGCGCTGAGCCGGGCACTGCTGGCACTGCGGGCACTGCTGGCACTGCTGGCACTGCAGGCACTGCGGGCACTGCTGGCACTGCTGGCACTGCTGGCACTGCTGGCACTGCTGGCACTGTGGGCACTGCTGGCACTGCTGGCACTGCTGGCACTGCGGGCACTGCTGGCACTGCTGGCACTGCAGGCACTGCGGGCACTGCTGGCACTGCTGCCCCGGAGCAGGGGCTGGAGCTGCTCCCCAGAGCAGATCAGCTCTGTCTAATCTTATAGACACTGCAGAAACGTCCCGGAGTGTTCATCTGGCAAGATAAACAGCAAAAGTAACTAAATCCTGGCCTTCATCATGCTGCTTCTCACTTGCTGTTACAACTGCATTTCCGAGCTCTGTTGCTTTAGCATGAGCTTAATCCCCCAGTGCCATGGCAGCTCAGCTGGAGACGCTGTGAACCTCTGGTGTGGATAACATCCCTCCTGTTCCTCACCCTCAGCATGCCTGGTGGCTCTGCAATTCCAAAGTGTCACTAATTTCAGAATCCAGCCTTCAACATGTGCTCCTCCTTGTGCACACATGTGCATTCACAGAAGCAGAGACGTGTCTGAGTAAACAAATCCAACCCCCCTCTTGCTGCAAACATTTCCCAAATGATCTCTTTCCTGTTCGTGGTCTTTCAGGTGGCCATTCCCCTTCCCAAGTGACTGCCTTGGTTTTATCAACTGTTTTTTAAAATTTTCTGCTTTGACTATGTGTAAGATTGCTGCTGATTGCCCCCCAGGTTCCTTCTCTGCCTTATCTGTTCCTCCAGGATGGCAAATCTAACTCCAGCGAGCTGCTGCTGGATCCAGAACTCAGGAACTGTGCTTATTTCTATAAAAAAGGGAAGCTGTATGAGAACTAGAACTAGATGGAGATTGAGAAGCTGGCAGTGGGAGGTGTGAACTAGATGAAATCCTTGTAATAAGTTTGGGCTCCTTAAATTACTTTGGACGACAAACTTTAATGTAGAAGAGAAGACCAGAGGCTGGGAGTGTGTGCAGATCCTGATCCGTGTGTGCTCACTGAGGGGCTGCTGTCCTGAGCTGCCTGCAGAGCAGGGGCTGTGCTGGCTCAGAGGGAGATGCTCGTGCACTCCCAGGGAGCAGCTCTGAGCCTGCTGCTTCACTCACAATAGAAGGAGTGAAAAGCAAAAGTGTTGCTGCCCTCCTGCCAAACAGTAAAAAGCTGCATGTTTAAAAGCAAGATTTCAGTTTGAAAACATCAAAGCAAAACACTGACTTATTTGAAAAACCCTGTTATCATATCCTGATAATAATGTTCTTTTTAGACAGAGTTGGAAGATGTTTTATTGGCTACTTTAATACCTTCATGAACACAGTGTGTTTCTGGAGCTGCTGCTTTGCCTTGTGTTCGGGAATACTGCATGTGCTATATTTCTGCTTACTAAAGTTTCAGAGAATTGATTTTTTTTCAGTTCAGGGTACGAATGTATTCTCAAGTGAGACATTTGTTTCCATTTATACAACTTAAAATTTGGTAATAAGCAATAGATGAAAAAGAACAGTGCCCAAAATCTCTTGTATAAAATTTCTTGGGAATGGCATCCCTTCATTTCACAGAAACAGGCCAGTTTACAGTCCCGTGTTTAGCATTAAAAGTACAGATACTAAAAAAGAAGAATGAAAGCAGAAATAACTGGAGCTTAGTGAAGTGGTAGGAAATCTAGCACTGGCTTCTGAATAGTAACCCAAAAGCTGTCCCCTGCCTCGGGGGGTATTTTCAGCCCCGTGCTGCTCCGGCAGTACTGAGCAGTCAGTGGGTGTCCATCAGAGGCATCAGAGGGCAGAGTTTCTGCTTTTTACTACAAGGTAGCGCCTTCATTGTCGGAAGGCAGACGCGGGCAGCGCTCAGCTGCGCTCTGAACCGCTCCCGCAGCCCCCGGAGCCTGCCCGCCCTGCGGGGCAAGGAGCGCCGGGCGCGGCCGGGGCGGCGGGGCGCTCGGGGCGGAGAGGGGAGGCAGTCTGCGGGGCTGCACTGCCTCCCGGTGGCTTCTCCCTCCCTTCCCTGAATCGCTTCTCCGGCCGCGAGCCCTTCGCTTCGGGCCGCCGCAGCGCCGAGCCCCGGCGCTTCTGCCTCCCCCACCCGGCACGCCTGGGCCCCTCCTGCTGAAGCTTTTCCGCGCTCCCCGGGGCTGCGGAGTCATTTCCCGCAGCCTTCAACGCCCTGCGTCCATCCCGCAGCCCTGCGGGGGCACTGGCCACCGGGGGCTGGCTGTCCCCAGCCTGGCTCCTCTGTCCCCAGCCTGGCTCCTCTGTCCCCGGCCTGGCACCTCTGTCCCCAGCCTGGCACCTCTGTCCCTGGCAGGGCCACTGGGGGCTGGCTGTCCCCAGCCTGGCACCTCTGTCCCCAGCAGGCGCGGGGCTGTGGCTGCCCTGACCCCATCACCATGGGGGTACCCAGAGCAGACGGGGCCCAGGGGCTCTGCCAGCCCTCGGTGCCGTTTTGGGCAGCTGTTGTCACTCCATAGCCCGGAGGAGATGTGGTCCTTCTCAGCTGGGTGTACAAAACCACTGCTGGCATCACGGCCCCAGTGGTGTCTGTGAGACAGCAGGGCCACCCTGGAGCCCAGGGGTGCCACCGCTGCCAGGAGCACCCCTCGGTTCAGCCAGGGCCACAGCAGTGACGTGCCCAGCACACCAGGCAGTGCAGGACACCTGAGTCAGGGCAGGCTTAGATGCACGCTGGGACATAATGCCCACACTGGGACATAATGCCCAAACTGGGACATAATGCCCACACTGGGACATAATGCCCACGCTGGGACATAATGCCCACATTGGGACATAATGCCCACATTGGGACATAATGCAAACATTGGGAAATAATGTCCATGCTGGGATCTAATGCCCACGTTGGGAAATAATGCCCACGCTGGGATCTAATGCCCACGTTGGGAAATAATGCCCGTGGGCTGCAGTGGTGGAGTCCCCAGCCCTGCAGAAGCCGTGTGGATGTGGCACTTGGGGACATGGGCTATTGGTGGCCTGAGCAACGCTGAGGGGGTGGCTGGGCCCGATGGTCTTGGGGGATTTTCCAAGCTGAGTGATTGTGTGCCTGACAGACAAAGCAAGGCCTGCCATGCTGTGCAAGTGCAGTATGTGGAACTGCAGTGGGGTGGAAGTGGGGGAAGAGGGACTGCTGGTACAAACATATTCATATTCCATTCCACAACTCCCATATTGCAGCTGATGCTGTGCAGTTCTTTTGGGTAAATCAGTTTATGATTTCCTTTATCTGGGAATGCTGTGGTCTCAGGGAGATTGCTGGGGTGGTTCACTGGAGGGCAGGGGAGTGGCTCTGGCACGAGATGAGAGTCGGTCTTTCAAGGTTAAGCACTGTGAGGCAAGGGTGAGCGCGGGGCAGGAGCGGAGCACAGACTGTCGCTGCACAGCCACGCTTCCACCTGGAGACCAGCACGGAAGGAGAGCAGGAAACCTTCTTGAAGTGCAACAAAATAAAACACCGGTTTTGTGCTTGTTCCAATCTGGCCTCATCTTCTTCTGTGCTGTTTGCCCGTGCTAGAGCTGTCCTGGGAGCTTCTGTTGCTCCTAGGGAGGGACAGGGCAGGAGAGGGCTTTGTGCTGCATTCCCATCACTCAGCTGTACCTTATCTTCCCATGCCACCTGAAATCTGGCTTCTTTACCTGTGTTTTACCTCTCAGCCCCTGACAAAAGGGGCTGTGCAAAAGGGGAGTTGGGTTTGCTGGTCTGTGCCCAGCCCTGTGTGTGCACTGTCACTGCAGGACCCAGGGCTGGGCCACCCTCACCTGTGTCAGAGTGGGCTCGCCTGTCCCCTGCCCAGCACCCGGTGCTCCAGGGCAGGTGGAGTGGCCGTGGAGCTGTGTTCTCTCTTGGCTTTGTTGGAGCGGGGTCAAGGACATTGGGCTTCCACTGGCTGTCGTGCTGCAGAAGGACTGAGGGGAGAGAGCACAGATGGATTTTTAAAATACTTGAATAGTACTCAGAGATGCTGAGAAATTAAATGTCTGAAAGTTTGACTAAGGGCCAGTCTTCATCTGTGTTTGGGCAGGTGACACATGGTTCAGCTGTCAGCCTTCTGTGCTGTTTCCTGCCCTGCTCCCCCAAAGGATGCTCCACCCCACAGGCTGCTCGGCCCGGGGGCGCGAGGCTGTGCTGTTTGCTGCTGGCAGAACTCTAGCCAAGGCAATCTCCTCCGTTTTCAACTGAAAAGATAAAGCCGCTGGGTCCCAGGCTCTGCCTGAGTTTGTGCTCGCAGAGCGGCAGCTCGGCGCCCCGGGCACCCGACACGGCTGCGGGCACCGGTGTCACCGCGCGGCCCCGCCGCCTCCGCTCCCGTCCCCGCGCCTGTCCCGGGGCTCGGTGCGGGGCTCGGTGCGGGGTTCGGTGCGGGGCTCGGTGCGGGGCTGGCAGCGGGGCTGGCAGCGGGGCTCGGTGCGGGACTGGCCGGCTCGGCTGCTCCCGGCGGCCGCACGCCCTGCTGTGGAAGAGTGTTATTTTGGAATCTGCACAGTGGAGTAACCTCTGTCCCGGATGATACGACAAGAAATCACCCCCTGGCCAGGACCCAAGCAAAACACGGGATTAACTTTGCCCTGTGCTGGCTTGCTGGGACGTGGGTAGAGCTGCTCCCAGCAGCGCCAGAGCGGAGCCTGCAAGGATGGGAGCCAGGCTGCTCTGCCTGTGCCTCCTCACAGCCCTCCTCGGCTACTACATCTACAGCCCGCTCCCCGAGGACCTGGCCCAGCCCTGGACAGTGATGCTCACCTCGGCTTCCCTGAGGGCCCTGGGACACCTGGTGAGGTGGTGGGGGCTGGCAGGGCAGGGCAGGGCAGGGGGGTTCTCGGGGACGCAGCAGTGCATGTGTGCCATGCTGCTGCGTTACACGGGCACGGTGTTACACCGACCCAAGGGCAGGGGCCGCTGAGATGAAGCACTGAGCTGACTGTGGCTAGGATACAAAGAAATGGAGGAAAGATTTGATCTTGCAGCCTTGAGAAAGGGCCGTTCAGAGTAAGGAATGAGATGTGGGGTGTGACTGTGGATCGACACGCTTCTCTTGCTTTACAGAGCTGTGCAGCTGCAGCCCTGCTGCTTGACTCACTCCTGACTCCATGTGCCCAGCTCCCCGGCAGCGCTGCGTGTCCGGGGAGGGCAGACACAGCAGCTCTCACATTCTGCTGATTTTTGTGGTTTTGTGGAAATCCACTGACAAAATAGGCCTGAAAACCACACACAGCAACATCTCTGTGTGAGACAGCCCTTGCTGGCAGGGGGTACCTTTTTAGGGCTGCCCAGCCTGCAGGAGAAGGGAGGATGAGCAGTTTTTTGGGGTGTGTCAGGGACTCCTGTTTTATTTCGGGGGTTGAGGTGGTGGAAGATGGGAGTGGTGAGAAAGAAAGGAACTATGGCCAGCAGTGTTGGTACGCTGCCTTGCTGCTTGCCCTCCTAAATCCCCTGCTGGATGGAGCCTGCACGGAGGGCAGGCACGGGCAGGCAGGCCCAGTGCCAGCTGCCCAGGCACGCCCGGTACCTGCTCGGTGCCTGCTCAGTCCCACTGTCACGTCAGCAGGGCACTGCTGGCCGCAGGAGCGTCCTCTTTGTGCCAGCATAGTGTGTTTTCCCTGGAAGGTGGTACTGCTGTCCTGCCTGCCTGGGAACAGCAGGGCTGTGGGCAGGCATTTTCTAACTGGGCTCTCATCTCCTGTGAAACCCAAGGGATGGGCACAGCCACAGCCTCCCTGGAGCTGCACTAGTGCAAATTAGAGTTAGGTGGCTCTAAATTATCCTAAGTATATCCTGAATGCACGTGCAGTTCCAGGGCAGTGGCTCAAGGTCACTTGGGGCAGGGCTGTGCTTCAGAGGGGACCCTGCTGTAGTCTCTCTGACTCCCTGATGCTGGTTTGAGCAAAGGGGACAAAGTGCCCCCCTCGAGCCTTCCTGAGCAGTAGAATCTTCTCCGAGCTCCCAAAGGGAGCACCATGACACGGCACATCTCCATCCCCTCTGCTGTGGAGGGTCCTGGGGAGCCCCCAGCTTGGCAGCCCTGCTGGGTGTGCTCAGAACCCTTGGTGCCCCCTCTTTGCAGCAGGGAGGCTGGGAACGTTTCCCTTGGCTGCCGATGTTTGTGTCCTGTGTCCATGTGCTGCCAAGCTAGGATACAGCCTGACAGCAAACCTGCCACTTGCTGTAGTGCTTGAGCCCAAAATCCCCCAGGTATTCCAGGAAGTGCTCTGTGCCCTCAGTCTGAAACGCCTGAAGAAGGTACAAAACACAAAGGGATGTTTCTGGTGTGTGACATCCCCCCAGGGCTCACTCCCTCCTCAGCCCAGCTCTGTGGAAGCGCTGAGCCCAGACTCGGGCCCCTCTCCCAGCTCGGGCTGATGGGGAGCGTCCCCCGGGGTGCCTCATCCGGCTGCTGCCCCTCTGGAAACCCGACCTGCTGGAAGCCCTGTGGGCACTGCCCCTGCCCTGGCCAGGCACAGCCAGGCTCCCTTCTCCCTCCACAGGCTTTGGGTCTGTCCTGGCTGTAGGGACTGGGGAAAACGCTTTCCAAAGCACACGGATCCCAGCCCCCAGAGTGGCTGGTTTTCCTGTTCACCCGATAATCTCACACTGGGACAATGAGGGATTTTCAGATGAGGGCACCATTTCCTTTTATTGATAATGGCCTGGAAACCGCAGGCAGCAGGCCAGTGGTTTCTCACAATGTAAATTGTCCACTTGTGGAAAACAACTCTGAGAGCACTGGAAACCCTCAGTGCTGGGGCTCAGGGAATTCCTCCCACTGCGGGGCTTTCACAAGCTCATTGGAGTCACAGCAGGACTCACTTTGGCTGAGATGTTTGTTTTTTCAAGATGTTAATCCTTGGGGGAAAACCAACAACTGAGGAATATTTATGTAAACTGTGTCAATGTGGTGGCTAACAGCAATTCTGGCATGTGTATGTGTGTTTGTTTGTTTTCATGGAGCTGATGGCAAGGACCTGTGCTTCCCTCTGCAGTGTGCCAGGGCCTGCCCACTCATCTCCATCCCAATTCCAGCACACTGGGATTGGCAGGGCTCCTCCTGGCATCACCCGCTCCAAGCCTTCAGAGAGAGGTGATTCAAAGCTGTGGTGACAATCCCTGTCAAAGACTGCCAGCAAGGGCTGAGCTGCGTGCTATTCTAGCTCCTGAAAAAGAAGGTTACATCATGAAATCTCAGACTGGTTTGGGTTGGAAAAGATCTTAAATTTCATCTCGTTCAACCCTCCTGCCAAGGTCAGGGACACTTTCCACTAGACCAGGTTGCTCAAAACCTGGCTCTATGTAGATGATGATTAAACAGTTGATTTAAATACAATTTGAAGGGGAAAAAAAAATACCCCAAGCAGGGTCAGACTGTGACTTCCACTATCACAGTCTGAAGGCTGGAGGTTACACCTATCAGCAGATGACCAGTCATGCTCTGGGGGTTTCACATTCTCCCTGTGGACAATAAAGCATCTGTTGGAAGCCAAACTCCAAACAGGTTCTGCACCAGGCTGGGCTAATTTCAATTCAAACCTGCTCTGAATTTCATCAGACAGCATGTAAGAGCTTGGCTTTATTTCCTGTTGTTCCAATTGTGATGTGATGAGGCTGGGGAGGGAAAAGGGCCACGTCCCATTGCCGGGGGTGGTGGTGGAGGAGCTGAGGTGCTGGTGCTCCAGCAGCACAGGAGCCGTGGGTGGCTCTGGGTGGCTCTCTGCCTTTGGTCCCCAGCTGTCCCCATGCCACGCTGGTGCCAGCAGTGCAGGCACTGTGGGTGGCTCTGGGTGGCTCTCTGCCTTTGGTCCCCAGCTGTCCCCACGCCACGCTGGTGCCAGCAGCAGGCCAGGCCTGTGGGTGGCCCTCTGTGTCACAAAGCCCGTGTGATGCTGGTGGTCGCCGTGCCGGGCACTGGGCTGCAGGGGTGCCCCTCGTGAACGCCGAGCGCTGAGCGTGGCACGGAGCAGCGGCCCCGGCTCTGGGCTGGGCTCTGGCCCTGCTGGGCAGCGTCAGCCCATGCCACCAGCGCTCCTTGCGCTGCCAAGCTCAGGGGGAGGCACTCTGCTCTGGCCTGCTGTACTGGCTTCCACGCGCACCTATAGGGAGCATCAAATGGCTCCAAGGGATGCTAATCCAAGAATAAATAGGCTGCACTTGAACAGTTTCCCCTCGTCCTGGCTGTAGGCGGAGGCGGCTGAGCTGCTGGGGCTGATGAACTACATGGAGGGCTTGAGGCTGTTCACGGCTCTCGAGCTCGTCGCTCCCACATCCGACGAGAACGTCACCGTGGCAGACACGGAGCTCGGCAGCGTCCCCGTCCGCCTGTTCGTGCCCCGGAGGGCGCCCGGCGGGCTCAGGAGGGCCGTGGTCTACTTCCACGGCGGCGGCTGGTGCGTGGGAGACGCGGGTGAGCTCTGCCCTGCCCCGTGCCAAAGACACAACACCCTGTCCAGCGCTGCCCCGCGCTCGGTGGGAGCTGCCACAGGGAGGGGCGGGGGGCTGGGGTCTCGCCAGCTCAGAGCAGGGGGAAGTCGGCTCAAAGTGCTGCCCAGAGGAGCAGGCAGCCGTGGGTGAGGGTCCCTTCTCACAGGCACCGGGCTCTCATTCCAGGCATGCGCGGCTATGATCTCATGTCACGGCGGATTTCGAACGAGATAAATGCTGTCGTGGTGTCAGTCAAGTAAGAGATATTCTCCTTCCAGAAGGGATGAGGGTTTGGAGTAAATGAATCTGTTTCAATTAGCCTGATTTTTCAATGTTTCTGTATTTGGTCACATGCTTTCCTGCTGACTTAAACACATTTGGAACAGAGGCTGCCAGGGTGACAGTGGAGAGCTGTGGCTGGTGGCTATTTGGTCTTTACAAAGATGGGTGGGTAATAAAGTGGATCCTCTGGGACAGACAGTTCCCACTTTTCTGGGCATGGAAATAAACATCCCCCAGCTGTGAGATGTGAGCAAGTCCTTCTCTTTATTAACAGCAGGTACTAACACACTTCTCTTGCCTCCACCAGCTACAGGCTGGCCCCTCCACACCGCTTCCCTGCCCAGTTTGAAGACGCGTACTCGGTGACCAAGTTCTTCCTGCAGAGCCAGGTCCTGTCCCAGTACGGGGTGGACCCTGCGCGGGTCTGCGTGGCCGGGGACAGCGCCGGGGGCAACCTGGCAGCGGCCGTGGCACAGCAGGTACCGCACCAGCGGTTTGCGAGCTCACAGTCGCTGTTTGTGTGGTTTCACGGCCGCTAAGAAAAGCTCAGCGTGCAGCACACACTGCTCTCGTGGCTTGTCAGGATGTCACAGCCTGCGGGATCCTCGCGGAGCTTCTGGGGACCAGGCAAGCGGCTGTGCCTGAGCCACTGGATGGCATCGCAGGAGCTCCAGTGACATCCAGACATCTGCCACTAAAAAAGGCTCTCCGCCCTCTAGTCGGGGCTTACAGCATTCTAAACTTAAGCTCGTGTTGACTGGTTTAGGTATGATGTTTGAAAAGGGAATTTTAACTGCGTGACTCATAAAGATGCAAATAGCAGGGAAAACAAGCGAACAAAAAGAACCCTCACTAAACGTTGCAGTGTGTGATCATACAATTTGGTGCCTTTTGCACTTCTCCTTCAGCTTTGTCAAATAAAGTCAGCACGATGATGTTGCTCTCTTGAGAAGCTGTTTGGGCTGTAATGAAACACTAGGAATGGTGGTGAATTTGCTGCAAATGCTAAAGGCAGAAGATGAGGGAGAAAATGGAAAAATTATTAGTGAAGAGAGGAAAAGATTGACATATAAGAAATGTCAATGTTTAATTCATCACATTTTATTTGTTACATCTCCAAAATGCACAGAATTGCAATTGGTTGAGTTGTAACATCTCACAGTTAAAAACCAAACGCATGAACATGCTCTGAATTGTGTGAAATGATAGAGACCCAGAAAACTGAAAGTTTTGTGATATAAGAATAGAAATTTTCTGTAGCTATAGAAAATCTGCTGTCAGCACTTCAGAAAGCATCAACATTTCAGAAAGAGGATTTCCCAAAAATCATTATCCTTCAATATAAGAAATAGAATGAAATTATATTTGACATTTGAGAACTTTATTACAGCATGCTGTTTCAGATAACCTGCCTATACATTCAGAAATTCTTTATGCTGGTTTTATTGATAATCTTATTTTGCTCATGTTGCAAAATGCGTGTCTTAATTCCTACCTCAGAGGAACCATCAGTGTGGGAGAATGTACACCTTTACCGATTCTTTGCTACGGTTTGTTTTTTCTCCAGCTGGTGGAGGACCCTGAAGTGAAAACCAAGCTCAGAGCTCAACTTCTGATCTACCCAGCCCTGCAGGTGCTGGACCTGGACCTGCCGTCCTACCGAGACAACGCCGAGAAGCCGATGCTGCCGCGGTCGCTGATGGTCCGGTTCTGGAGCGAGTATTTCGCGTCGGACCCCGCGCTCAGGGAGGCCATGGCCTCCAACAGGCACGTCCCGGCCGAGGCCGCCCAGCTGCTGCCGCTGGTGAACTGGAGCCGCTGGCTGCCCGCCGAGATGCGCGGGGCCCACGCGTACGCCAGCCCGGCGGTGGGCGACACGGAGCTGGCCCGGCGGTACCCGGGGCTGCTGGACCCGCGCGCGTCGCCGCTGCTGGCGGGCGAGGCGCGGCTGCGCCGCCTGCCTCGCACCTTGGTCCTCACGTGCGAGCACGACGTGCTCCGCGACGACGGCGCCATGTACGCGGGCCGGCTGCGCCAGGCCGGCGTGCCCGTCACGCACCTGCACGCCAAGGACGCCTTCCACGGCGCCGTCACCTTCCTGGCGGGGCCGCTGGAGCTGGCCGTGGCCCACCGGCTGCTCGACGCCTGCGTGGGCTGGCTGAGGGAGAACCTGTGAGCGGGAAGGGCTCTCCTCACCTGCGCCAGGTGTGGCCGCAGCCGTGCCGCCTTTCGGCCTCATTGCCGTCCCCCTTGCAATTCCCCCGTGCGGTGCTGGGGCTGGAGCGGGAAATCAGTGTGATCCTAACCCCCGTGTTCCCCCAGTGCTGTCATCTGAACCTCAGACCCCCAGACTGCCAGGACTGCCCTGGGGTTCCTCGTCTGGCCCTGCAGCCTCCACGATTTGGTGTCTTGTGCCTGCTGCTCTTCTTCCCTCTATCACGCTTTCAGTCTGCGGCGGGTGCCGAAGGGCCAGGTCGCTGTGGGCACACGGGACGTGCCCGGTGGCTGCTTTCTTCCCATCTCCCTTGGCTCCGTGGGATGTGGCAGCGGGGCCCTGCTGCTGCCAGGCCTGATGGGGTGAAGGGAAGCACCGGGGGGCTCGGGGCAGCTGCAGGGACCTGCCCATAGCAGGCTGGGCTGGAGCTGCTGTTCCTGCCCAGCACAGCTTGAGGAAAGCACTTGGAAACCCAGTGGGATGGCTAAAAAATTGTGAAACTGCTTTGGGCTTTGCTTGTTTGTTTGTCTTGGGAGTTTTGTTAATTTGAGGGTTTTTGTTGTGTTGGATTTTTTTTTTTTTTAAATACGTACCTTACTCCTACTTCCTTTCTTTAATCCTTGCACTAGCAGGAAATAGTGAATCAAACCAGCACTGAATATTCACTGGGAAAAGGAAGCTGTGAAGATCCCAGGCTTACAATAACACTACTGTTAAGTCATGTACAAGGTGTTCTAATTGTCCTTGAAATTTTTTTATCAGATTTCACATATGATTTCTTAAAAGTAGAATTAGCTTAGTAGCTTTATGGGGCTGGAAAAGAAACATAGTTCAGCTGGCTGTGTGGAACAAATAACCTCTGTGTAAATGTTGGGTGTGTTAAATATAAACCCTAAAAGTTTTGACTGAAGCATGAATACAGGGGTTGGCTGTTGGTTTAAGTAAATCAGCCAGTGGGCAGGTACTTAATGTATCCTGCTTTTCTTTTGCATAAAAGGTACTGAATCTTCAATAATTCTGGGTTATTCTTCCTGGGTGTGGGCGGCCTGTTCAGATGGAATGTGTACGGGATGATTGCCGTTTTCCATCTTTATGAAGTTGAATCTAAAGATTAAACTTGTTTTTGATTCCAGTGCAGTGTGCTTTGTCACTCGGTGTCCCATGCGTGGGGAAGCAGTGGCAGCTGTGCTGTAGCCAAAGGGTGGCTGCTGCAGAGCCCCGGGTTCCAGCCCTGCTCTCACTCCTGCTGGGGATGGGTGCTGCTGGGCTGGGCTGTCAGGAGGGAAGCAGCACTGGCTGAGTGGGTCTCTCCTTGCACCTCTGCACACCTCTGGATGCACATCTGTGCTCGTGTGCTCAATCCCAGAGTGTCTGGAGTCATTCCTCAGGTCTCCCTGCAGCACTGCCAGCACAGCCCAGCATCACCCACAGACTGGGCTCCTGTCTGCTGCCAGAGACAGCTCCACTGCTGTTTGATTCCTCCCACATTTGGAATGAATTAACAGCCTCTTAGTGGTCCTGAGGAAGTTGGGCGTTGGGGCTTTGCTCAGCAATGCCTTTGGTTGGATTTTCTATACAGTTTCAGGGTCACATCCACAAGAATGTTCCCTGGGGTGGCATTTCTGGGTTGTAAGTGCTAATGGAATGAGCCCAGCTGAGGTTTCCAGGAAGACAACCTTGCTTAAGAGGCTGCTCAGGGAGGATGGCTGTGTTTTTGATTTGGAGGGGACGTGCCCATCTCACATCCCTCAGCAGGTTGCCCTGCTGTGACCCAGAGTGGCTTTGGTTGTTCTCCTGCCCTGCAGCACTGGGATGCTGCTGCTAGAGCAGCACTGGGCTGAAGTGTTGGCTCAGCTGGCTCTGCTTCCCTTCAGGGCTGCTGGAGGTGCCTGTGCCAGCCCAGCTGGGGCAAACCTGGGCCATCCTCCCTGTTCACACTGTCACCAATATTGGTCTTCCTCCATCGTGGCTCAGGCATCAGCTGTGTCAGGGACACTGAATGCCTGCCTGTAAGGCAGAAGAAAAATTTATGTTCCAAGAAACAATGCCAGAAAAAAATTGCCAAGATTTCCTTGTGTGTTTTTATAGGATGCTCTTGGAACCAGAAGTAAATGGCTTTTAAGCACCAGCACCTAAATATGGACTCATGATTGATTGGGCTGTATGTTTTTGTTTAGGTTCCTGAAATAGACTTTTGGGATTGGAAACGCTTGGTGAGGCACAAAATGAGACAGTGAAAGCTGCACTATTGATGTTGCTGGCAGGAGAGGCTGGAGCTGCAGCAAGCAACCCATTTATCCACACCAGAAAACAGGACAAACCACCATGGGGGAAGTTTGGTGCATCTTCAAAAATCTTCCCTTGAAGGAAGGATGGGATTTGGTGGTTGACAGTCAAGGACAAAGCTCAGCCTCACCGTGGTGGGGCTCAGAACCCCATTTGGAGCCAGCTCTGGGTGCAGAGATCAAACCCTCCAAGGATGCCCAAGCACAGGGAGACAGATTTATCACAGAGACTCCTACCACAGGGTGCAGAAGGAGGTGCACACAGAGAGTGGGGTTCATGCTTGCAGGTGAGTCAAGGAGGAAATGAAGCATCCTTGAAGCATCCCCACCAATGTGGTCTTCCCCATCACCCATTTCTTAAGAATCCTTAACTTTTTGTTGAAGTACTAGACAAGTTAAAAAAAACCAAAAAAATCCCCAGCAGATCACCACCAAAACCTCAAAGCCCAGAACCGGGCAGTGCTCTTGGGTTTCTGGTATTTTTGGCAGTGTGGGCTGATTGTTCCTGGTGTGCTCAGCTGGGCCTTCGTTCCCGAGAAGGGCTCGGGGAGGGCCCCGGCGCTGCCATCAGCGGCCACCCCGAGCTCTGGGGCTCCCTTCTGCTTGCTCAGGCCAGCCTGGGCTGGAGCCCGGGCTGGGTTTGCCCAGCAGAGGCCAGCAGGACTCCGGCCTGCCGTGCCAGGAGCACCAGGAGCTGCGGGCACGGCCGTGGCAGCCAGCCTGGAGTGCCAGGCACCAAACACTGCAGCAGCCACAGAGCCTGCTGCTGAGACCCAGCTCAGGGGTTGGGTATGCCCAGGGCTGCAGACCCAGCTCAGGGGTT